TCGTCATCGTCATCATCATCATCATCGTCATCGTCAGCGTCATCATCATTATCGTCGTACTCAGCATCATCAACAACAGCAGCATTAGCATCAGCATCAGCAGCAGCAGTATCCTCGTCGTCCTCAGCATCGTCATCTTTAGCAGCATCGTCGTCATCGGCATCGTCATCGTGATCATAATCTTAGTCATGATCATCTGCATCATAATCATCGTCAGCATCACCACCATCAGCATCGTCCATCATCAGCAGCATAACCACCATGATCATCATCATTATCAACAGCATCAGCATCAGCAACAGCATCAGCATCATCGTCCTCGTCGCCATCATTAGCGGCATCATGATCATCGTCATCGGCATCGTCATTTTATGAACATCAGCAGCAGCATCAGCATCAGCATCAGCATCAGCAGCATCACCATCTTCATCATCATCATCATCAGCAGCAGCATCATCATTGTCGTCAAAACTCCCCCTAGTTCTCGTCCTCGTTCTCATGATCCCGCCGCCTCCTCCTCTTCCTCATCCTCCATTTCTGTTCCTTATACATAACTACTCCTTGTCGCACCCCGATGCCAGTTTTTAGGGCAGGCCAGGCGTTTCGCCTGAGACTTCCTCGCCATTTATGACTGAAGCTTAAAAATTGACAACAGTTTCACAGATGGAGGGCGGCTGGTGTTCAAAATGTGGCTCTCGCCTTAGCGCGGCGCACATTCGTTCTAAAAAATTGCAACGAGAGTTTGACGGATTGAGAGCGGTTCCTTTTCAAAATGTGGCTCTCGCCTGAGCGTGGCGCACTTTCGTTCTAAAAGTTTGCAAAGTGTTTCACGGAATGCGGGCGGGTGGTTTTCAAAATGTGGCTCTCGCCTTAGCGCGGCGCACATTCGTTCTAAAAACTTGCGAGAGCTTCACGGAATGAGGGCGGTTCCTTGTCAAAATGTAGTTCTCGCCTTTGCGCTGCGCACATTCGTTCAAAAAAAATGCAAGATATTCATGGATTCAGGGCGCTCCCTTTTCAAAATGTGGCTCTCGCTGGAGCGCAGCGCACATTCGTTTACAACATTCTCAAGAGTTTCACGGATTCCCATCATCAACGTACCAGAAATAGTGTCTTGGAAGGATTAAGGATTATGCGGGCGCAACAGTTACGTTGAGTCTCTACGTTGAGGTCCTAGGAATGGCATTCTGGCACGATTCAGGATCGCAAGACGCAACAGTCAGGTTCATCAGTGGCGTTGGAATCCCGAGAACAATGTTTTGGCATGCTTCAAGGTTTTCAAACGGGTGTCTTCCGACGAGGCAGTTCCGTCAATGGAAATGAACCGTTGTAGGGGCCTATGAAGAGGGAGCTTGGAGGGAGGGTTTACTTCAACATCGTTCATGACCCTTGGGTTTACACTGGTCCTCCTCCTCTTCTTCTTGTTCTTATCCTTATCATTATTATTGTTATTCGTCTTCTTCTGAATAGTACTATTATTAGTAGTATTATTGATATTGTTGTGATTATGTTCCTTATTCGTATGTTTCTTATTGCTAGTATTATTAATATGCTTATGATTATTAGTATTATTATTATGAATGTTAACATTAATATTATTATTCCTCCTCCTCCTCCTCCTCCTCCTCCTCCTCTACATCGACCTCCTCGCCCTGGTCGTTCCTCCTCGTTGTCCCCGAGCTCTTAACTCCTCCTGCTCCTCCTCCTCCTCCTACTCCTGCTCCTCCTCCTTCTCCTCCTGCTCCTCCCCCTCCTCCCTCACTCTCCTCCTCCTGCTCCTCCTCCTCCTCCTCCTCATCATCATCATCATCATCATCATCATCATCCTCATCATCATCATCATCCTCAGCATCGTCATCTACCATCGCCACCACCACAATCATCATCGTCATCGTCGTCCTCCACCCTTGGGGGATGACTTTGTCGCCCGCCGCGCGACTCAGACCAGCCTGGGGAAGGCCTGGCCAGCGACGGAGCCGCCCTGGAGGGACCTGGCCACGAGCCTGCCGAACTCCACCCGGTTGTTCCGGAGCACCTGCGGACGGCGACGGCGACGCGGGTGAGTACGCGGACGACGTCGAGGAACGGGGGGGGAGGATGGTGAGGGCTGCTGCTGACGATGGCGAGGTGGAGGAGGGAGAAGACTGTCTCTCCTTCACCCTTCCCCATCCCGCGATGTCCTCCTCCTCCTCCTCCTCCTCCTCCTCCTCCTCCTCCTCCTCCTCCTCCTCCTCCTCCTCCTCCTCCCCCTCACCAGCGTTTGAGCCTCTGTGCAAGCCTGTCCTCTCAGGCTGGGCTACAGGTAATCGAACCGTCGCTCTGGTGAGCCGTTGTTTTCGCATGACCTTCCCCTCGCCCTTGCCTTGCCCTCCCATGACCTCCTCCTCCTCCTCCTCCTCCTCCTCCTCCTCCTCCTCCTCCTCCTCCTCCTCCGGCCACGAGGACGGCGACGGCGACAGCAATCCATGGCTGCTCCGGGACACCCGCGGACGGCGGCGCAGACTGCAGCTCACCCAGGCTCGCGCACCGCCATCGTCGCGCCCCCTCGCGAGGCCTCCGCGGAAGACGGGCGGCTCTCCGGCCCAGGCCGCGGCGCACAAGCCGCGGCCACCGAAGCTCGTGCCCCCGCTCGTGGCCTGTCGAGGACGAGGAGGAGGAGGAGGAGGAGGAGGGAGGAGGGAGGAGGGAGGAGGAGGAGGAGGGAGGAGGAGGAGGAGGAGGGAGGAGGGAGTCGGGAGGAGGGAGGAGGAGGGAGGGAGGGAGGAGGGAGGGAGGAGGAGGAGGGGGAGGGGAGGAGGAGGAGGAGGAGGAGGAGGGAGGAGGAGGAGGAGGAGGAGGAGGAGGGAGGAGGAGGGAGGGAGGAGGACGTGCTCTCAAGCCTTCACCCCCCTGGGGGGGGCCCGGGGGCCCTCGTTGCCGCGGCCGAGGGCGGCTCGGAAGCCAGGTCAGAGCGCGCCCCAGGGGAGGTCCAGGGCTCGTCGTCGTCGTCGAAGTCGTCGTCGCACCCGGACTGTTCCAGAGCACCTGCGGAAGGCCGCCATAAATGAAGGGGCCCCAGGACACACAAATAAATACACACACAAATAAAAATATTCCCCATATTTTCCCGTATGTTCTGGGTTTCTGTCTTCCCCCCCACTTCCCATATTTTCCTATATTCTCTGCGGAATCGAGGATTAATTGTGTCTGTGTGTTTTCTCCTCTCCTGAATAAAGGAAAGGGGTCCTGCGGGAGTCCTGGACACCGGGGCTTTCCCCAGGACCAGCTCTTCGTCCCGAGCCCTTGTAGCACGACGTCGGAGGCCTGGGGAGGGTTTCTGAGGTCGCCTTTTGAAAGGCTGCCTCGGCTCTCCACAGGGGCCCTCTTGGACCCCACTGGGGTCTGGTGGTCCCGTCGGGGGGGGCGCGCTGGGTGATTTCGAAATCGTCGTCACCGCGGCCGCCGCCGCCGCCGTCGCCGAAGAGCACGCACGGCGTACTCTGCACGCTATTGCCTCTGCACGGGCGGAAAAAAAACACGACGGGAGCCCCAAACCCGTCTTCTTGATGCGCACCTCGAGCCGGATCGATCCGTGATGGCCCCGGGTCCGAAAAAGCACAAAATATCCCGTTGCGAAAAAAGGGCGACATCAAGATCTCACGGGATTCTGGACGCTCTCGGGCAAAGGTCGAGGATCGGTTGGTCATTTTTGTGCGCTCGTTGGCCCTCTTTTGGGGGTGGGGCCCTCTGGAGGCGGATCGACAGGGGCCTCCTGGCGGGGCAGCGCCTTCGTCGCCGTCGTCGCCATAGCCGTCGCCGTCGCTGTCGCTGTCGTCACAAGAGGAGGAGGAGGAGGAGGAGGAGGAAGAGGAGGAGGAGAAGGAGGAAGAGGAGGAGGGCCTCATGGGAGGGGAAGGGAAACAAGGGACCTCATCCGCGTCCTCCTCCTCCTCATCATCCTCCTCATCCTACTCCTCCTCCGTCCCTAATACCTCATCCTCCTCCTGATCCTCCTCCTGCTCCTCCTCCTCCTCCTGCACTTGCTTCTCTTTCCCACCACCACCTTCATCAGCAGCGGCCCTCACCATCAGGCTCAACAACATCATCAGCACCCTCAGGACTATGTCCGTCGCCGTCGTCAGCGTCATCATCGTCGTGGCCATCATCCCTCGACCTCCTCCAACTCCTCCGTCTCCTTCATTTCCTCTTCATCCCTCCTCAGCGCGCTGCTGAGGATCGCCTCTGCAGCCTCGTGGTTCAGCGGATCGCCAGGGTTGGGTTCAAGGAAAAGGTACAGCAGGCCTTGCAGGCAGTTAAGACAGACTATCACAGCGGGGAGGCGTACAAGAGCGCGGGAAGTCGGAGTAGGCAGGAGGAGAAAAAGGGGAAGGAGGCAGAGAACAAGCATAAGTACGAGCAGAAAGAAGATGGTCAGGAGCAAGCGAAGGACGAAGATAGCAAGCAGATGAAGTAAGAAAACGAATAATAATACGAAGGAATGTGGGAACATACATAACGAAATAATGTCCATCGTGCGAACAAATAAGAGGGCCATGGGTTAGAATAATCAGAACAGGAAGCGCTAGCCGGAGGAGGACGAGAGGATCAGCCACCGTGACAGAAGCAACAGGAAGGGAGCAAATCAGGATGAGGGAAAGCACGGGGGATACGGGCGGGTAGTGCTAGGCAGGGGAGAGGACGAGATGGAGAGGGAGCTGCATGGAGGATGAAGGGGAGCAGAGGACGGGGACAAGCAGAAGACAAAATTCGAGGAGGGGGCGTGGAAAAGAGAGAGAGAGAGAGGGGCAGCAGGGAGGAGGCAGTAGGGAGGGAGGGACTGATAGAGGGAGGAGAGCGGGAGGAGCAGGAGGGGCAGCAGCAGCAGCAGCAGCAGAGGCAGCTGAATGGCGAAGGTGGAGGAGCGAGGACCAGGAACGAGGAAGCAAGGAAGGAGGAGAAGAAGACGATAGAGGAGGAGGGGGAGGGGGAGGAGGAGGAGACGGACGACCACAAGGACGACGACGACGGCGACGACGACGACGAGAAGGAGGACGACGACCTAGAGGTGGAGGAGAAGGGCGGAGGGCGGAGGGAGGACATGAGCAGAGGAGGGAGAAGAGATGGGGACGAGGAGAGGGGAGAAGTGAGGCGGGGAAGCGGAGGAGGAGAGCGTTTCTGTATGTTCGGCGATGACGGGCGTCTTTGGGGGGGGGAGGAGCGGGGTGGGGTATGACGTAACGCCCCCCCCCCGCCGTATGGCTCTGGCACCACAGCCGCGCCCGCGCGCACGACGCGACGACCGACAAGCGACAACGACGACGACGACGACGCGAGCAGCATGTAGGTGGCGATCTGCCCCCCTGCGCCTGTGTACACCACAACGCTCGCGTGCACCACAACGCGCGTGTACACCACAGCGCCCGTGTGCAACGCAGCGCCTGTGTACACTGCAGTGCTCGCGTACACTACAGCGCCGGTGTACATGTGCACGCCGGAGGCAACCATGTGCAACACAGCGCTTGTGTACACCACAATGCTTGCGTGCACCGCGGCGCCTGTGCACGCCACAGTGCCTGTCTACACCACAGCATCCATGTGCAACGCAGCGCTATTGCACACCACAACGCCTGCGTGCATAGGACAGGTAGAAGGAGCCTGTACGTGAGGATCTGCTGCGGAAGCGCCACGCCAGGAAAGTGTTGATAATCGAATGCGACGTTTTTCCTTATTCCCTTCCCCTCCATTTCCACTTCCTCCTCCTCCTCCTCGTCCTCCTCCTTTTTCTCTTCCTCCTCCTCCTCCCCCTCCTTCTCCTCCTCCTCCTCCACCTCCTCCTCCTCCTCCTCCTCCTCCTCCTCTTCCTCCTCCTCTTTACCCCCTGTCGTGCGGGTTGGCGCTACAACGCACGTGCACAACTCAGCGTGCACCGCAGAATGGTCTGTTGAATCGGCCCACTTGGTTCTCGGACGGCCATTTTAGCTGGAGCCTCCTGGAAGCAGATGGGAGGAGTTACGGTGATGCTTGCGAACTCGGAAGGACTCGTAGATTCTCTTGGCGTTCCCTTGTCCAAAAGGATTATTGTTTTGTGTTTTCGGTGGAATCCACAAACGCTCCAATTTATCAGAATGTTTCCTTCTAACACTCTAGATACAACAGTGGTGCTGTGTTGCACACGGTTGCTGTGGTGTACACAAGCGCCGTGGTGCACACAGGCACTGCAATGCACGCAGGCATTGTGGTGTACACTGCTGTGTTGCACACGGCTGATGTGGTGTACGCAGGCGCTGTGGTGTACACAAGAGCTGTTGTGCCCGCACGCGCGGTGGCACAAACTGATGCTGTGTTGCACGCGGCTGCTGTGGTGTACATAGGCGGTGTGGTGTACACAGGCGCTGTGGTGCACGCAGGCACTGAGGTGCACACAAACGTGATGATGCAGATCGCCACGTACATGCTGGTGCCACCCGTCCTCCGTCATTCCTAGGCATTCCCAGGCGCCGCCCGCGCGAAGCGTGACGTCATCGACCCCCTCCACCCCCGCCAGATGATTGCCGTCATCGGCCCGGAATGAAAAAAACAGGCTCCAGCCGCGTCCGCGCGCACGACGACGATGAGCGACGAGCGACGAGCCACGAGCCACGAGCGACAACGACGACAACGACGACGACGACGTCGACGACGACGACTGCGGACCGACTCCAATGCGGATTCCTACTCGGACACCTACGCGGATCCCAATACGCACGGCGGCGCACTGGGGGGGAGCGTTACGTCATAGGGGGGCGGGGGAGGCGGGGGTCACGACGCCCGTCATACCCTAAGCAATAAAGAAATGGTCTCGAGGAGGAGGAGGACGACGACGACGACGACGAGGGCGACAATGAGCTGGACGAGAACGGAGGAGGAGGAAGAATGCCCGCTGCCGCGCTTTCACCGTGGTGGTCTGGAATGATGCTAATGGTCTGGCAGGGTATATGTAGTGTGAAGGCCGATGCACACCCCCGTGACGCACGCGTCAATTCAAGGTCGGCCCATCGGATTGTGTCATGTCGATCTCTCGGTCTCAAGACTGCGCCCATACAGCTCAAGGGAGACCAAAAACGCCTGCCAGACGCCCAAGCACGATTCACGAACGGCCCAACGAGCGCCTGAGGCTCCAAGGCCGCCCCAACTTTGGAAGAACTCGGTGGCTAAATCGCCCCCGAGACGGCCCCGAGATCGTCAACGGGCCTCCAACGAGCCCCTAGAAGGCCCCACGATGCCCCCAAGAAGCCCCAAAGAAATCCGCAAGAGGTTCCCATGATGGGATGCCCACACAGCGAGGATGATGCATGGAATCTGTCTCAAGTCTCAAGGCTCGAGCCAGCGGGTGTGGCGCATAACGAGGACGCTGGAGACGATAGTGACGCCGAAGACAATGGTGGCAACTCCACTTGTTTATCATAACCTCACTACATCAGACACGGCCACCTGACCCGACATCTGTCATGAAAGCGACGTGCTGGCGATGGCGATGATGCGGAGGCCCATTTACTTCGAACCTCATTACACTGGGCCCCAACAACCTGTCAAACTACAACGGCCTGAATGGGCAAACCTGCCAGACGACGCCGAAACCACTCGTACGAATTTCGGATCGCCTTCGTCTCCAGAAAACGATTGTCCAAATTTGGTGCCTAAGCGGACTTCTTCTTAGCACGAGTGGCAGAAATCACCGAATACACCCCCTCCGCCATGAAAGCAGCGCGACGGCCCAGCCGCTATCGAACGCCACGTTTGCTGGCGAACGTGTCCGAAAATAGGGCCACTGATGCCGAAGCTAATCCCCCGTCAGACGCGCACCCCGGCTCAACAAAGATCATGCCGACAGGCGCAGCCCTTCCAGCACGCGATGCCAATCTGCCAAGGAGAGGAGGAAGGACAGAGAAGGAAAAAGGGAACATTACGGGAGCACCACGGACGAATGACAGCGGATTTTTTACAAAACGACGAAAGCAAGATGGCCTGCCGACACATAGCCTGGCCTCGGGCTCCGGCTTGCCAGGCAGACAAGCAATAGCATCGGCACATACGTTACCTATTGTACTGAATATTTGGCGGGGAGCGGTGATCTCCGAGGCCTCGCGACGAGACGGGGCCCACTCCACCGAAACGTTGCGCTGCCCACGATCAATTCACGCCTGGACGATCCTGGCCCACAGGTCGGCATTCGGTCCGAGCGCAGCGACTCGAGATGCCGACCGCCGACCCCGTCGTCGCACGGCGGCCCGTGGTCCGTCACGCAACGGAGCGGCCCAGGGGCGGTTTCGAGGGCGATCGCCAAAGGCCGCGGTTTCAACGCGAGGGGCCGTCTTGGCCCGAGCACTACAACGCCTCCCCCGACCCTTCGACGCCGAGGGTCGCCCGAAAACCTCCCACCCGATCCGCCCCCGAACACGGCAGCGAAACCTTCGGCGTCTCGAGGAGGAGACCCAATGTCACCGATTCGAATCGGATCGGGGCTTTGTTCTCGTCAAACAGCGGGGTCGTCTCAGAGATCCCCGGGGCCCCTCAGAGCCGAAAACTGGGGCAGCTATCATGATTCATGCGGGCAAACTCACACAGGAGCTGAAACTCGTCAAAATCCTCGCGGCCTCCGTTCTTACAACAAACCCTCGCACGAGGGCGCGGCGTTTCAGGTTCCTCTCCGCAGCGACCACGCGTGCAAGACAGGCCGCACCCTGCAGCCCGCATGCGCTCGCGGGACCAATGCCCCCCCGTGGCGACGACCACGCGGCACAGTCGTCGAAGTCGCCAACGCCGATCTGGCCACCGAACTTTGCGAGCTCACGGGACACACGCGGGAGATCAGCGCCGTCGGCCAGGTCAGTCGCCGACTTGCGCATCGACGCCTGCCCCCAGAGGGACCGCTGGATGCGCGTCTCGACGTCGTCGGGCAGTTCGGCCAAATGCCGTGGACGCTGTCAAAGGCAGGGTTTGCCCCGGAAGGAATCTGCAAAGTTTGCCCCGGGTCCTTTCCCCAGCTCGTCGGCGACGCGGCTTCCCCACCGATATCTAAAAACGTTGCAATCGCAGCGGCGATGGGGCCGCTGGCCCGACACCGCTTCCGCTGTCCAGCAACCTGGGCCGCGCTCTGATACTGCCCCACGCTGCCGCGATACGCTGGCGGCACTGCTCGTTCCCCCGCCACACGCGCAGCCGCGGCGACAGATGTTCTGGGCGGACGGCGATGTCTGGGTCGCGCCTGTCGTAAACAAACCCCAAGGACGCGACCAGGCACCTGCCCCGGCCGTTGCCTGGAG